AAAAAAAAAAAAAAAAAAAAAAAAAAAAAAAAAAAAAAAAAAAAAAAAAAAAAAAAAACGAGAAGTCCAAATGAAAACCATATCGATTGATAGTTTGGGTAAACCTGTTTGTAGTTGCCTTTCATCCAGTTCACAAAGGGCGGCATCCGCGTGAACTTTGGCGGCTACCACGCTCAAGCGGGCCTCGGCGGCCTGTTGACCGGCTCCAAGGCGGACGGCGGGCTGCACGCGAGCGCCGGCACGCCTAGCGGTGCCCACGCCAGCGCCGGTCTCGGCGGCACTCTCGACGGTGGACCCGGTAAGACGCTATATTGTATACCCCACCTACTTGCGAAATCATCCCCTCCCCCATCCCTCCATTTGGTCAAATGTCCATTGGAATATGTTCAATCGGTGGTTGAAGGTATTCACCCGATGCCGATTGTTGACGGCTTGAATGACGCGCTGATTGTACCGCGAAGCGCGTGTTTGACAATTCAAAGGATCCATCGCTTTGTTACGCGCCACCGCGAGTCATTAACTTTCGTGCAACTCGAAATTTCCTTCGACCCTTGGAAAATCGCGAGCCACCGGTACGTGTATCCATAAATAAATCCCATCATCCACGCTCCGTTCGGGCTTTGACGTTGTAACGATTTCGTCCACAAGCGTCGCTTACTTGCACCGTAATCTTCCCCCCTCCGCATCGATGAGCCGAAGCTATGGCTTCATCAAGATCGTATACGGGCTCCAAAGTAGATAATGCCAATAATCGGTAAGGCGCCGTATACTTTTTTTCTTTTTTCTTTTTTTTTTTTTTTTTCCTGCACAACAGCGATAAAATAAACTTAACGAGCCGAGTTTACGTAAGCGTGTGTCCCAATCTCGGTAAAGTCAACAATTTAGCCTCGGCTCTGCGGGCGAGCATCCATCACTATACTCCCTCGTGGAGCGGTCCCATCATCGATCACCGGTTGGGTATAGGTAATTCCCCTCTTCTGGTGGGTGAAAATCACGGGTCGTGATGGTTGCAGCGGGTGGCCTCCACGCGCGTGCGGGTCTCGGCAACGGTGGCCCGGAAGCCGAGGCTGGACTCGCCGGTTCCTTGGCGGGGCCCCGGCCGCAGGGTGAGATCGTCTCGAGGTCGTCGGTGGGCAACTTGGACAACAGCATCCTCCGCAACGACAAGACCAAGGGCAAGAACATACAAGTGATCGCGCGGCCGAAAAAAGCTACCGAGGTGAGTGTCATACACGTATATGTACCCTTTGACGAGCGATCGATCTCGTTTGTTTGACGACTGGGGTGTGGATGCTCTGGGTGTTGGCAGGTGAACGCAGCTGCGGACGGTGCAGATGACGATCCCAGGGCCAAGGTAAATTATTGGTCCAAGATGATTGAGGGTGGATTTTGATTCTTTTTTTTTTTTTTTTTTTCTCTATCTGTTAATGGATTAAGATTACATTTAAACACGTGTGCGTATAATCTCAAATGTGTAGCTTTGTATTGAGATTGTACATGCAAGGGTTAATCGAGGGTCAATAAAGATTGTCCGTTTGTTGATGGGACTTTTTATTTTTTTTTTTAGTATATTGAATTTTGTGTTGTCATGTATTCGCCATCCCTCGAAATGTCATTTTCTTTGCAATCGTCATCTAAATCGTGGTTTTTTCATGCTCAGGAACCTTCCTCTTCTTCTTCTTCCGGTGCTACCGCAAGCGCAGGAGCTTCTGTGAATAATGGTAAAAACTCTTTTCTTTATTCAACGATTAAAGCACTAATGCCAAAATCCTGTTGACCCTCCCTTCTCTCTCTCTCTCTCTCTGCACCTCATTTATAATATAAAATCATAGCTTTGCTGACGCGAGTGCTTGGAAACGTTTTGCATGGCAATGCCAATACTGCTTTTTCGTAAAAATAATTCTTTAATCTTTTCGTCGGCGTCACTCGAGCGTTTTCGTAGTTTTTACGAGTTCAGGGAACGGGTCCGTGAATGTACGATTATTTTTACCTCTAAAAAGCCTATTTTGCATTCATAAAATCGTTTTTCCGAGTATTTCGCAAAAGTCGATCATTTTTAATCCTTTTAATTTATACGTAGGTATAAACGAGCACGACTGATTTATTAATAATACCAGAGTTATAAAGTCGGCTCGGACGACATAAGTACACGGTAAACGAGCAAAACGATTCGGAAACAAAAGAACAACGTACACGTAATATCGCGTGCATCGGCGATAAATTAAAAGTAGCCCGTTGCTCGGTCGAGCTGCCAAATGAAAGGTATATATATATATATATGTGGATTCGTGACTCGAGCGGCCAAGAAGAAGCCCTCCCTTGTACTTTTTCGACTCAACAAATTCATCTCGCGTCGGCGCAGCCACAGCAGCCAAACTCTCTTTGTTATCTCTCTCTCTCTCTCTTTATTTTTTTTTTCTCCTCTGCACACATACAATGCGAATGCATGCATGCTGGGCACGTTAAACGCGTACCCCTCCCATCCTACGTCTCTTTTTCTCATTCTGTTTCGCCAAAGGGTAATAAATCTAACATACCGAAAAAAACCGTAACAACTTCCCACATACACCCCACACGTAAATGTACACTCAAATATTATACACTTGTATGAAATAAAAGAGATAAGCGCATAATAAATCGTCGACTGTGGGGGCTTGGGGGTGTGTGTATATATGCACGTTGTTGACATGGAAAACGAAAAAAAAAAAAAAAAAAAAAGGTAGCGGGGAGTACGGGTCGAGCGAAAAGAGCAAGAACCCGGCTTATTGGTACTTTCGGAAGCGGGCCGCCGAGCGCGTAGCCCCGGTAAACAAGACCTCCTCTGACAATGCCATTGAATCTCCCGATCAAGCGTCAGCGGAAGAGGGACCGGCAACGGCGTCACCGACGACCAAACAACCGGCGGGTACCACTGCGAGGAAGCCTTGGAAGTATGGGATTTTCGCGAGATCGCCCGATACGACGAGCGACGCTGACGTCAAGTACAAGAACAAGGGCACCCTCTTCGATGACATCTTCAATGTGAGTTCTCTTTTTTTTCTCTTCTTTTTTCCATGCGAGTCTGTGTGGGCTATACACCTGCGCACGCTATTATACACATTTGCATTTCGCTTGCGATGGGTTTTGACTTGCAAATGAAGGCTCGCGAATTCAATGTTGATGCGCTTGCGAATTAGCTCGCAAAGTGACGCATCGAAAGTATTAATGTTTGTTTGTTTCCTTTTTTCAGATTCCCATTTCAGCGTTGAACGCGGTGAATCAACTGTTGAAGAATCACGTTGGCAAAAAGAAGTGAAAGACAAGAGAAAACTGGAATAAGCTCGAATTCGAACGTATTGCCAAGCAAAAAGTTTTTTTATAATACTTAATACTCTTGTAATTCACCGATGACGCTATCTCTGTTATTTTTTGCTTCGTTGCGTTAATGAGCACGTGAATCGTGCGCTTGATGAAATTTGCATGGATTAACGTTATTTTGGCGTTGTCTGCCGTACGTAGTTTGTGTACATTTTTAGTACTATGACCTTCGCATTTACATTTTCGCCACAATTGTGTTTGGGGTAAATACTTATTTATCGATGCAGTGCGAGAATGGAGTGATTCAATTGAACAATCGATGTTAAATTTATTGTATTTTATTTCAACGAATCCATTCTTTTTGTACACATGTTTTTATAAACTATTTGTTTAAAATGTGTTGATAAAATTAAACTTATGTTTTATACGAAAATCGTTTTTAATTATGGACAAAAATTAACAAAGTACTTAAAGATTCTCACATAGTCAATTTAAAAAATAAAGAATTTATTGTACCAATTAACTTTAAGCAACCTTATTCATTATAAAATTTGTATTCTTGATTTTTTTTGGTTAAAATATAATTGTAAGTTTTTATTTTTCTCATTGCCTTTCCCTCGTTCTTTCACGATCTCCACTTTTACGTGCACAAGCAATACATAAGACAGCTACGTGGTTCATTTGAGTTTTATTGGCGGTGAAATTTTAGAGTCGCGTCTCGTTGGAGGTATTTTCCATTGGCTTCCGGTTCGAAGCGAGAGACGGGGGGTATATATACGTATATAAGCGCGTGGCTGCCGGAACATTGTTGTTGCGCAAAACACGAGGTTTCTTAACGTCTCATAGGCGTTACCGTTGATAATTATATTGAGATTTTTCTACGAGTTTCTACATACATAATGTGCACGTGGNCATGTAAAGAGCTACTTAAAAGATTTTTACTCCTAAACTTGTAAAAAAAATTTTTCAGTTAAACAATTATTTTTCAAAAAAAAAGGTAGACTATGCTACGACCCAACAATGAGCTTTCTTAAACCATTACCTAACGCAGATCGAATTGAACACGATAACAATAGGAACTTTCATGCTTTGTTTTCGATAAAATTTTTCTAATTGTAAAAAATAACTAATCCAAGTGGAGAAAGTATCGATTTCCCATTCCTATGAATGCATTGCACTTGAATCTTTAAACGTTTGTTTAGGTTTTTGTGGGAACTTTAATTGCATTGAATTCATTCATACATTTATCTATTGCACAAATAATATGTTAAATAAACTTAGAATATTGTTACTATGTTGCTTATAAAAAATCGTGAAATTTCTCTGTATGCTTACTTTACTGTATAAAACTTGATTAAAAAATCAATATCAGCATCCACTTGTTACTATTATCATACATGTATGACACTCCCGACATCATATAGACGAATGGAAATTTTCAATTTTTTATTCGCGTGCATATAATTTGATTCTGGAGAAAAGACGTGAAGTAACTGTCCTTGACGATCAAAGTCCATGATATTCTCTTTTTGTTTTGGCTATCCTTTTATAAGTTTTATATGCGTCATACATGCATTTTGGATGACAAAATAATCTTACACTGCTTTTCAAAGAATCGCATTGTATGAACAAATAAAGGTATCATTAGTTGCAAGGTAGAAATCCGATGATAAAACCATCGGATGTTAATTTTCACGTCTGAACAGAATCACTTTATCATCCGTTGATACAAGTGATAGTAGTGATGGAAACAACAAAAATAAGTTATTTACTCGATTTTTAATTAAATAACAAAAGTTGGACGTTTGAAGGAAAAAATTTATTAATGCACTGTTTGTATTACAAAAACATGAGAATTACCGTACTATAGTAACGAAGAAAGTGTTATGGTGGAAAAATTCAGTACCAGCTCAACATTTGCAGCAGACACAGCAAATTCAAATAAAAATAAAAATGTTCAACGATCCATGAGATGGGATGCAAAAACCGTGAAAGTATTTACTGTAAAATTACTTTCTACTCAAAATTTATAGAGATTTATTAAGAATACAATGTTAAACTACAGATTATAATTAAAGAAATTTCGAATATATTTGTGATACAACCTGCAATAAAGATGCTAAGAGGTAATATTCATCGACTGTTTCAGAGAAAAGTGACAATTAAATTTATCCAATATAAACATAATGTAATCACTTATTGCAACGAATATTTTTGTTAAATTTGTATCCAACATTAATTTTACCGATGATTATCTTTCGGCAACGGTATCTCGTTAAAGTTGAACCATACCGATCTCCTACAACTGCAAGTTTTTATGCACCTATAAAGTCGTTTCTGAACAATATTATTATCCCCGAGACGTCTGCAGGTCATCGATATTTCAAGTTTTCAAGGAAAGTCATCTCACAACGGGGAATTCCTGTTTTTTTCTGCAATGACGTTCGCCGGTGCGCGCATTTTTTGGCAATCTCTCAATTACCGATCTCCAGTTTATACATATATCTTTACAGGAAGAGATGGTTTCCAAAGTATAATAATGGGCGTATAAGTATACATGCGTTCTCGATGATTTGAACCAAAGAGAAAGCGCTCCCACTATGGTGAACAGGCAGCGAGAGGCACGAGGGAGCCCCGTGTCGCAAGACGGACACATGCTCGGAGAGCATAAGAAACAACTCGACTTGCTTCACATGAGGTACATTCAGTCGACTCCGATGGCCAGTGCCGAATATATTACAACACCTGCACTCGCGTCCAGCCGATCCTCCAAGTCAGAGGTTTTTTTAAAGCGAACAACAAAATCGTTTTTCGATCCGGTCGCTCCGAGAGAGATATTCTTCCGCGAAAGCGCGCCTTTGAACGCAAGTGAGGGGCGTCGAAGAGCACACGCGCGAAATCAAGCCGAGGTGGAGCCAAGAGGAACTTTCGATTTTCGAGAGTAAGTTGACCACTTGTACTTTACTGAATACGCGTGAGACGGGCCGTACGTCAATACTTACTTTTCCCATCTCTTCTTGTTTATTTTCACATTTGTATTGTACATCGGATAGTTTGGATCATTAGACAAACGATGCGAAAGCCATTCGGGAATAACGAGCAATCGTAAAATAATTCAAAGCTATTCATTATGATGAGTGCAACGGCTCACAAAGTTTCCTCTACCTTTTTTTTTACGTAACCAAGTTACTTGTCCATCACGTTTGATCGATTTTGAAGCTCGTGTCTCGAAAACCGTTACTCCTGATACAATATATCCATTCAAGTCATGCAAAAAGCGTGATCGGTATGGAAACTCTATATCGCTCCTGTGCGGCTCGTTCGATCGACTTTGAAACCTTACCAGCAGCATGTATACTGCACATACTTATCCTTTTCCTCGACAAACGAATCAAAAATTGACAGTCGTGCCGCATTAACGAGTAATAGCATCCTCGTCCCCGGCGATCGAAAGTCAAGAACCGGCTGATGTTGCGACACGCGCGCGCGGTTTATTCAAGGTTCCCCTGACCAGCGAGGAGGAGGAGAAAGACTAGCCGCGCTAAGAAGCAGTGGCCACCGATCTTTGGTACCGTGAAGTTCACATACGTGTATCAGCGCGGAAGGATGGAGGGTGGTCGTCTGGGCGCGTTTATCCTGGCATTGGTGCTTCTGTGGTGCGGGTCCGAGGGGAGACCGGCAATCGACCAGGAGCCGATCAAGTTTACTTTGGGCACGACGGCCGGTGACAAGGCGACCGAGAAATCGCTCAGAGACCAAGTTGGTGAGAGGGTGCAGAATGGCATGGTGAGTTTCATTTGATTATCCTCGAGGTCATCGTTATCGGGGACGCAGCGCGGAGGAAGAGATCATCGTCACCCGATTGATTTTCATGAATGGATTATACTTTTATACTTTGCACAATCATACAAGGTGACGCTTCGAGCTTTTATCTGAATGAGAATCGTACCCGTGGAGTGTTTGATGGAGTTTTCGCCTCGATCGAAAATTCTCATCAGGTACATGCGAGCAGTCTGGCATACGAGGCATGGATTGGCCAATCGCTCGCTCGTCCTTACCTTAGACAAAAGAAACAAAAAGAAAGAAAAAAAATTACCAATTGGCCTTCGAACTCTGGAGCGGAGTACATTGTTACACGACTATTATTTGCGCTCCGGAGGCTCGACTCACATCAAAATTTTGTTTGGCGCTTTTTTTTATAGGAGTGGTTAAGCCGGATGGCGGACGCTATAAGGTTCGGCAGAGGGCGATTAGTGAATTCGGTCGCGATAGCCCGAAACAGACTAGCAGAGAGAGTCGAGGTAATTAAGCCAAAGTCCGATTGCACGCCAAAAATTCTGTTCTCATTACGTTTTTTCTTTTTTTCTTTTTTTTTTTTTTCTCGTTTATCTCGTCTCTGATGTACAACAAATTATATTATCTGTCACGTTCTTTTCATCATTATTTTCACGGGGATGGAAAATAGAACTGTATGCCTATACTTTGGATCAGTTTATATAAGATCCCTGCGAATTCGCGAATAATCATTCAACTACTAAGTGAATTAAGTTAACTGTCCTCTAAAAGCTGCATAATGATAATATTTCTGAGACATTTTAAAACTTTTCAAGATTTTAATTGACTACAAAATCGTTCAAAGTTATTCTCAATCATTCATTTATACGTTTCAAAAGACTTTTTTTATAAATTTTTGTACGATTTGGGATGACCTCAACATTCTTAAGTGATTTTCAAGTGTCGTGTAAGAGTTAATATTTTTGAAAAACTGTAAAAAGTGGTTTTGTGACTTTTGTTGGATTTAAAGTTACAACGGTGAAAATAAAATTCACACAACCGATTACAGTAGATTTATTACCGATTCTATTTGCAAAATAACACAATACGTAAAATACATACAGTCCCATTTTTCTTCCATCGAAACTCTACATATGTGTGCATTTCTAATGTGGTCCGACCATCTGTGTAAGTTCTGTTTCTTTTTTCACGCATCGATATACTCCGTGCGCATGCCGTATTCACTTGTGCAAGACTACAGAGAGCGTAATCACAGCCGTCGACCGCCAGTAAGACTCTCCGTGCCCATATACACTTGTAATCGTCACTTTGCTATTTTTTTTTTTTTTTTCTTTTAATTATCATCACACCATGTACCCATCCACCTTTGCAAATCATAAATAAACGTCCCGTGCATCGCAGTGCCACATGAATAATTGATCGGGCGTGTAACGAAATGGTCCCAATATACGCACAGAGATGGAGGGGGTAGAGAACGAAAGTTAATGTTGAACGCCGCGTGCATAACAAGTATGTACACACATACCCATGCCTCCAGCGGCGCTTTCGTCTCGCGCAAAAATATTATTGTCAAAGCCAACAAACGCGGAAATTTTTTTAATCAGGGGCACGTAAAATAAAATGCCCCCTCAAATCGAAATTCCCTCGCGGTTCACTCTGTTTTCATTTACATCAAGTATTATATACCTATATAACATGCTCACGCTCACCTCCTGTTATTATCTAACAAGCCACACAACCACTTATACTTTGCTTATAAATTGATCACAACCACTTATAAATTGATCACAAATGTTCGAGCTCACGTAATATATTTTGTGAATTACCATAATAACGTCATCCTCAATGTATATACTATCTGTCGCCTGTGCATTGTGCTATACTGCGGTAAATAACTTTATTTTTATACACATGTGAAAAGTTCACTAATCGTCTGCACCGGGTGCACTGTATAGTATATACTTATAATATGTATAAAAAAAAAACACGAGTCTGTGGGGGTGGTTAAAAAACCGAGTGCACCATGTTGACGGCAGGAGTTGACGAGCGAGGCGAGGAACAACGTGGCCGGGGCGATAGGCGCGGCGAACGACATAATCGAGCGAAGCCGAACGAACCTACGCTCGGACAGGGGACCCCTGGCCACGCTTTTGGGCCCCAAGCCGCGCGAAACGGTCAAACTGGAGAGCGAGGACGAGCAGGCCTTCTTCGAGAGGAAGAGCGCCAATCCGCTGGGGGCGTTGCTCGAGAACGTGCTCAAGCCCAAACCGATTGTCGACGGTATCAAGGAGGAGGACAAGTACGGCAACCAGGGGGACAGGTTCGCCGGCGTTGGACGGGCTCTTGTCAACGGCTTCGAGGGATTGAGCAACCTTTTCAACGCCGTCATCGAGGTGATTTGGCTATTTTTTTCGGTTTTCAGAGATATATAAGTAAAGGTGCGTTGGGCAACGGGAAGTTTAGCCTTGCGACTATTGGGATATATTATTGCGATTGATCGAGCATTTTTGCACGCATCTGTAAAATGTGGGTTGTGTTTAAATATATCCTTTTTTTTCCTTTGGGTTCCAGGTGTAGGGTATATTTTTTTTTGTTTTTTTCGGAGTAAATGACGGTGTTGGGAAACACGTGGATCATAATTACGTCGCGCGTTTGGTGCAGAACGGGTTTCGCCAAAGAGATGTGGATTTTCGATTGCGTGGCTTCTGTTTCTCGAACGGTACTATTCGTAGGTTTTTTCAAAGCGCTTTTGTTCGTTTCAGTTGCCGATAAACGCTGCGAAGAAGACGTCGCGGAACATCACCGAGGTGCTCAATCAGCTCGGGGCACGACTGGTTGGTTTGCAGTGACAATCAAAAAGCAGTTTGTACATCCGTCGCATGTAAATAATAGGTTAATGAATATTGTTATATTATACATAAATTGTGTAAAAAGTGTATTTATATATATAAAAAAAAAAAAGTTCTTTATATTGTTTTAACAAGAGTTTCTTTTCTTTTTTCTTACAAATTCTTTCGTTGGCGTGTCGCAATGCATCAATATATTACATGCATAATAACAATATAGGTACAATTTTTATCTTAAAATTGTTAGTAGTAATTAAATATACTTTATTGTTGTGTCTCCTTTTGGCGCGATTAATTTTGACAATGGAAAATCCAATCGTTTAGTAAATTCAAGTATGTAGGCAATAGTGATAATCAACAAAAATCAACATCATCTAACAACACGTTTTGTGTTTAAATACATCACTTATTAACTGTAGATACGCAGGAAGGACAAAGATAAACCAAAGTATAGGCAAACTATTACAACGACGTTTTTGTATGTATAATAATTATGTGGCTATACGGCAATTGACAAAGTAGGAATTATTGATATTGACAGAAATATCGTATTTTTAATATGACAATTGTCTTGTCGCACTACTGCAAAAAATCACGTACGGTCATTTGCGCAAAGAGGGCACGGGTACATAATATATATATATACATTCGTTTCACTTGGTCCAATGCCAAAAGCAACGCCAACAACACGCCAAGTGTACACATTTCAACACACGCTCCGCGTAGTTTTTCTCCCCAACATCCGTAATTAGAAAAAATTTGCCAGCAAGTTTTGCGAAAACAAAATTTGCCAAATCGCCGTCTAATTTTTGCTCGTTTTCGCATCTCAGATTCGTAATTATACATGAATTTTTCCGAGACGTAGTTTGCGGACGAAAAAATCTTACTTGCACGTAAACGTGCCCTCGAACACACTCATTCAATATCGCACTTTTACACCACTGCAAACGGTAAATATACTACGGTACAATTTGCTTGACAATGTTTATCATAATGCGTGAAACGGCATTTACAAATTCAACAGTATACAACATTTTTATCTACAGAGCTCAAGATGGTCGTTGGTTTTAGAGGTCCTGTAAGAAATCTCAACATTGAAAAAACTTAAACCAAACAAGTGCAGGCATTTTCATTATAATATAGTATTTCCACAAGTGCATGCCTTAATAACTACATGCAAATTCGTTCATGCATTGCGAAAATAGTATTTCTCTCCTGTTTTATGTGGATCTACCATGAACGTGTCCATTGTATCGTGAACTGTTGTATTGTTGTAAACTGATTGTATACGTGGGTGAAACATTTGTTCTGTTCATTTATACGCGATAGCAGTTGTTTCTTTCATTCGTTTTTCTCAATGTCACGCTTTCATTAGTTAACGCTATTTCAACGCAAATAGATAATTGCGCGGTGTCGAAGATTTATTGCATCTGCTTCGTGGTTCCGTGGAGTATTATGTTCAAATGATATTTGATAAATGAAATTTCATAGTTTGATAAACCTCGTGTTTCGTGCATGCGTTTATCATTAAATTTGAAATTTTTGGCACACTGGAACTATAGACTCTGAAATGATATTCTCGTGTCCTTTAACTAACGTATGAAAAATGGATAAATAACTATATCATTGTGTTATTACGTTGCGCTTAAAAATGTTAGTAAAATATTTGAATCTATTTTTTTTTTTATCTCTTTTCCAAAATTCGATGTAGCAACATCTCATCATTTTTTCTCGCACGTATAGTTAATCACCTGCTACATACTATCATCTCGACGTTTTATATATCATGCAAAGCAGTTATATCACTACTTCAATCTAACAGCTATGACGTTAAACATTACTTGCTCTAGGTGTACATTAAATATATTATATATTTAATGTACAGGTACATAATATATAT